CAGTCGTTTCATTTATTTACCATACCTGCACTTTGACAACGTGTGACTACGCCTTTCAGTATTCTGAAAATCTTGTTTTATACTTTTTCTGCGTCGGTTTTTGTCGTAGTTGGGTTTTAGTTTTATACTTTTTATTATTCAAGTTCTCCAATCACGAGTTCACGATACCTACGTATTTTGTATCGATATTTTATCTGATTACCCGCGCACATGGCATTCACGTTATATTACTCAGAGCAATAATTATAATTAGATAATAAACAAATAAATAACTACGCTTATCGTTAACCTCCGCTCCTTGCACTTAAATGCACGCATTCCTGTTGAGAAGTACTGCTACTAGGTAATAAGAATGTATAGGTAAATTATTGTAAAAAGAAAATTGGTAAAATAAGAAAATATTTGCATCCATCGGACAAGTTTTATTTATTACTATGACAAAATTTAACTATAGTCAGAATTTTAATTCGATTCCTGATTTGACATGACCTATTGTCATTTTGTGAAATAATGATACCACATATAACAGTGTAGTGATGAACACAAAAATCGATAAACAATCAGTGAATCAGTTTCAGGAAGGTATTCAAAAAATTACGGCTACCGAATGGTCTAAATGCGTATCCCATGTTGTCAAAGAAGAGGAAAAAATGAGTAAGCTAGATATGTTAATTGACAATAAATATCACAGACACAATTCATAATAAATGTTACAGAAAGTAACAACGATAGCGATAGCGATGAAGGCGACAATTTATAAAATTTCTGTTTTATTTGTCATGTTCCTTCATGATCACATTTTTTATGTCTCTTATAAGTCTCAGATCGTGAAAACTAAATTACCGGCTCAGAAATATTTTATTTCCTAATAAACTTAGTTTACGAGAGTAAATTTTTAAACGAGAGGAATCGATTCAGAAATGTTCGATTTCCATATCGAATAATTTCGCAACGTCACTATTTATTTCGTGTCATAACGTTGCAACACTGAAATTGTCAAATCTGGAATGGAATTAAAATTCCGAGTATAGGTCTAGGTACCTATATGTTTTATTTAAAAATAAAATTGGCAAAAAAAAGTTATAGCCTGCATTCCAAGAAAAAAATACAAAACGTTATCGTATTTTTTTTTTTTGTTGGATGGCTACCAATAACTTTTTTTAATTACCTACCACGCACCACCACATTGTAACGTCAAAATTTTAACAATCATCAAAAACAGTTGCTTTTTTAATGCTAAAATTAAAAAAATAAATAGTTGGATCTAACCTGGAACGCGCCCGGTTACCAAACCTTTTTGCATTTATTTAGTTACACCTTTATTATTTTCTAACAATTCATTTGTATGGCTACATAAGATCTATGATAATATTTATATGTTAAATAAAGAACGTAAAATGTTTTTTGCAGGACTTGGAATTTGGAGGGTAAGTAGGTACTAGTAATAATTCTAACAGACTATGCATATAAGAACAATAAAATTAGAAATTAAACTCATTCTACAATATTGGTTAATTATTGGAGGTAAAAGTAAATAATAAGCCATAATTAATTGGGTAAAGCCTGAGCCGGAAAAGAATGGAGATGGTTTTTAGTCAGCAACCCCCTTATTACAAAACAAGACTTATCTTTAGTCCAGGTTTAAAACATTTAGTCGGGTTTTGAACTGAATCTTATTCTCACCTACCTTCAATTCGAAATACAAAAAAAAGAATTATCAAAATCGGTTCATAAATAACGGAGATATCGGCGAACAAACATAAAAAAAACATTTATACGGTCGAATTGAGAACCATCCTCCATTTTGAAAGTGGGTTAAATACTGCCTCAATGCTTTAGACCTTGTAAAGAAAAGATAAAGTAAAACCTTGTTTTGCACTTTGCACTTGCACCTTGGTTTTCACACTCCCTCTCATCGCCCCAGTGAGGACGAGAGAAGTTATTTGATGACATTCTGCCCTCAAAAAATACTCACATACACCAGATAAATAATGTATCTGCAATATTGTATTAAACATTTAAACAGTAGGTAACAAAACTTGTTATCGAGTAACGATGGATGCTCATTCGTCGCCATAATAATCTATATTTCGGGACAAGCACCTAGCTTCGCTGACGGACAGAACGGACTATTACTTCATTTGTTTATTTAATACAATATACCTACAATTCAAAATGTTGTTTTTGCATTTTGGCTTAGATTTTATATAGAATAGAAGGCAAACGAGCCTGCAAGATGATCATTCTGATGGTAAGTAATCAGCGCTACCAGCACCAGAGCAGTCACAAGCGCTTTGCTGGCCTTCTACGAAGACATGTTTCTTGAAGGTGAAAATATATTTAGGTCTAGGATAGAATAAGAATAAAATAATAGTTAATTTGCAACGGAATGTAGGCACAATACAAATACAGATGTTACAAAAAAACAATTAGAGATCCTTGTAGATACCTACATTCTACTCAAACTTAGGTAGGCATAAAAATATAAACATTTAGGGTAGGATTAAGTTAATTATAATATTATACTTGAATGCTATGCCATGTCTATTTTATCATTTATAAATTCAGATATGGATTTTTACATTCATTTAATTTATTAACAGATTGTTATGCGTTAATTTTGAATACTATCTGGTTATTTGTTTAATTTTATCGACCACATAACTAACTGGAACACTTTTGAATTAACTTTGACTTATTTAAAACTACGACTGTTTAGCTGTTTAACTGCGATCTTCAACCCCCTTTTCTAAACTAAGAGATTATAAAAAATCCATCTTCTATAGACGAATCCCATGTTCCAGAATTTTCAGCTGTCGACTGTTGATAATGAGCTACACATTAAGCTATAAAAAACCAATATATCATTGTCTCGCTTTGTTTGATATTTCTATCAATTCCATGGTCAGTTTTTGTGTGTATCCGTGGCACCTATTATTGGTATCTTTTGCGGAATTTGGTACCGAATTACTTACATAAATCTCAGTTAATACGCCAGCCAGTATGTTAAAAGTAAAAAAAAAATATCACAATAAAACAGGTACTTTCGAAATGAGTGAGGGAGAGAAAAGATTCATGTGGAGAAGAGCAAGAAACTCGATGAACTTTCTAGATCTTTCAAGAACTGGAAATTTAAATCCAATTTACATTCATAATATTACGTAGGTACTATCTTATTTAATGTGATCAATGTTATAGAAACTTTTTATCACATGTTACTTTTTGAAATCGTCCTTAAAGTAACATTTTTATTTGTAACTCCACAATTGCCAAGTAACAGCAACACTTCATATAACCAATGAGCTTTCAAATGATTTTATCTCTTTCACACAAAGGCAAAAGATATGTTTCTATCCTGCTTATTTTGTTTATAAACCTTGATTTTAGGTTTGCTATCCGCATCGAATCTTTCATTTTTCAAGTAACATTGAACGCGAGCGGTTAAATGTGCATCAATTAATAAATTAATTTATTTTGCCTAATTTACCTTCAAAAAAATAATTTTTATTAAGTTTTTACGTACGTATATTTAGTTTAATATTAATAATTCTTTGAATTGAATTCCAAAATCAAATAATCGGAGTAAAAATATTAATCGGTATCTTATTTAGGTATACCGTCAAGATGTCTCAAGTTGGGTTTATTTTAATCACTGCTAAGAGGAAGAATCCGAATGTTGATATTCCAGAACCATTTCTATGGCGGTTTAAAACTTGAGGTGAGTTTCTTTTTTTATTTAACCCTTAGAAACTCGTTTTAATAGTTAGATACTTATTTAAATTTTTTTTTCATGGTAGGTGGTACATGTAAATGATTTTAAGTTTTGTTTTTATTAAATTTTAGTTTTATATGCGTTGAATAACACAAGTACCTAAATAAAACGGAATATAAAACTATAATAATTCGTAGTAAAGATGATCAATAAGGTTTCTAAGCTAATGATCAGTATTAATCTACCCTCATAAAAAAAAGTTAATTTTCTAAATGTGCGCAAATCCCTAGATTATTACAACGGAATATAATAAAATTACTATATTATAAAGCGACTGCCTCTGATCCATCATCGATGTGGTGACTGTTAAGGAAGGAGACTCGTATGTTATTCCTTGTTCATAACGACCAGGCTTTCGCATTACTGATCAAGCTATCTACCGATTTTTCAAAAAGATGGCAGTTGCAGCAAAATCTTTACTTTGTATCTGATGTAAAATAAATCTGTTTTTTTTAGTGATCGGGAAATAAAATAAAATGAATGATGCATAAAACAAGTGCACTTCTAAGATAGCAATATAGGTATTAGACAATGAATAGCCAAAATTAATTAACCCGCTAAATGTCTGTATTCAAGACATAAAAGAAAATAAATTGTGGATCTCGTGGCAAACGTAAAACGTACAAAAGATTAGGTCGTATTTTTTTTCTACTGAAAATCTCTGAAGCTCCTTTGTTAATAATTATTTTTAACACAATCCGTTAGGATGATAATTGAAATATTCTATAAACTAAAATTTTCGTGTGCCTCCATCATGTCCGAAATAAATTTGTAGATATTTGATTTTACTAGAAAAAACGTGTGAAGAAATTTTATAAGTACTTACACCTACCCACATTAGTGAAAATATAATCAAAAGTAAATTTTGTCTATCCAAGTAAAACATCGTTTGCCCCTACAAAATGAGTATGAATTCCTTTTGTTAACATCCAAAAATATTTTCAAAAATTTAATTAAAACAATACGAAATTCTTTTTGTGCTTAAGATTTCAAACGAGTGTTTTCTAATTTAGCAACACCGGTCACGGCGTAGCAACACTGTCGGTGGCTGCGTTTCATACCTACATTGAAGAAAATTAATATGGTAAGCATTTTGTAACTTTATCTCTTTTTTGTTCAAGCAATTAACGTATCTCTGTCCTGCTTATATTTTGACGTAAAAATGACCGAACCTATGACAGATGTTTGACATTCTAATTTCAATTTCAAACTTAAAAAGTTAAAAGTAATTTGTGCGCGGTAAACTGTGCATTGGGCATTATTAAAATTTTAAACGATCTTTTATGATATTCGATAGTAAAATTTCAGTTTATTTTATACTAATCAGTGCCGACGTGTATTACTTATAAAATCTAATACTGTGTATTAAATTCATAGTTCATCGGTTGACCGGTGGTGATTTTGTTTTAAAAAAAACAATTTTTGTCGCAAATTTTTCGTGTACCCACATCATGTCTCGAGTAAAGTTGAATTTAATCGCTGCTGCGTGCGAAAACATGGGTATTGGTGTTAACGGTGCTTTGCCATGGCGGTTGAAGTAAGTTTTTTCCTTTCCAATCGTTAAATACAAACTTAGTATGATTTTTTACTTTTTGCCGACTTAGTTAGGTTAAGTATTGGCTTCTGAAGGAATTACAGATTCCACAATGACCACTGGAATTGAGAAATTACCTACTGATAGATATCTATTTTTGTTAGTAGATACTTAGGTCTGTTAGGTACATAAATACAAATGCCATCCTTTTATGTTTATAAAAAATCCTATATTTTGAAAAACGTGTAATAAAAAGAAATTATACTAAAAGTACATCCGGACATTCCCATATTTATGGATGTATGTTTGTTAATATTTTATGGTAAAACGCTTGGACTGATTTGGTGAAATTTAGATGTCCTGGATTAACATCATAATATACTTAAGCTGCTATTCATCAACATTCCCTGCTGGCAAAGTTGCAGGTAGAAGTTAGTAACATTAATTTGTACAATCAACAACATTTTTCCTTTGCCATATTTTGATTGAATTTTACTGACACCCAAGCGTAGGTATCTGATTTTCATCTACCATTAAATCAAATACTAAAATTGTTAAACTTGAAAAGGAGTAGGTTTTTAAAAATATCTTTAGTCTTCTAAATTTGTCCTTTACCATACTTCGATTGACTTTTACCCTTTTTTGAAAGTGGCAATAAAATAATGTCTATTGATTCAAAATAAAATAATGACAGTTCTTTACAAACATCATAAACTCCTTCGGCCTTATTACAAAACAAGGTTAAACCATTGAGCCAGTTTTCGTATTTCGAATTGAAGGTAGATGACAATAAGATTCAAAATTCAAAACCCGACTCAACTGTTTAAACCTGGACTAAAGATAAACCTTGTTTTGTAATAAGGTGGCTTGTGTTTGATGTATTTGATGGGTGAATAGAAACAGAAAAGGGTTTGAATAGATGTTGGTGAATTTTCCTAATATCTATTTACCCCTATTGTGTCTATTCACCTCATTTTACTGAAACTTAATGACAGTTTTTTATATCTACCTTCAAAATTAGAAAGAAGTAGGTTTTATGTTCTAATTTGAACATTTTTAACCATTTCAACCTCATTTGTCCACTCTATTTAATTAACTTGTGTTCTTTTTATTATATACTAGCTACTCTCGCGCAGTTTCACTCACTGCTCGTCTCCATTTAATCGTAGAGTGATGTTTTATGGCCTATAGCACTCAGGAATATTGTAGCTAACTATCAGTGAAAGAATTTTGGCAATCTGACCAGCGGTTCCAAAGATTACCCCCTACATACAAACTTACAAATTTTAAAGACATGTTAAATAAGTTGAACTTACCCCACATTTATAAATTACTAGCTTTTAACTGTGGCTTCAGTCCTGTTGTTTGACTACCCTACTTAATTACCTATCTACCCTACCTACTCTACACTACCTACCCTTCACACCTGCCCCACACTACCTGCCTTACCCTAAAGATATGAATTTAAGTAATTTTTAAAATAAATTAATAAGTTTTCTTCATAAGAAACAATTAACTATGAACCAATTGTTTGTACAATTTTTTTCTATTTTTAAGATGTATAATTTATACTGCATTTGTAGTATGTTTCTGTTCATCTTATTTTTCTATGATAAAACTAGTTCTTCTGTCCTATGGGAAAGCATTGCTTTAATAACTTATGCATATCTTTACTTACATAAGCAATGTCCATTTTAGCGCATATTAAAAAAAAATGTAGGTATTAGTATAATTGGGTAGTTTCCTAGGTAAATTAATTAGATGTTTCAATACAATAAAATATTCAAAAATATTTATTCATTGGTCAATCTATATAATAAGTGTTAGATAGTTTTAGCTAATTATTAAGAAATAAGTAAGCTATTTGACCCAAAAATACGTATATGTCTTCATAACTCAGTTTTTCATACTAATTTCATAGAAAAGTATCGTTTTTGACATCTGGATAAAAGTATTAAATTTGACTAGTTGGAAACTACCATATTGATAGTCTATTTAGACCTTCTTAAAAAATGTTTATTACGTTATATAAATTTTATTTACTGATTGATTGTGTTGCTCATGCTTAAACCCAACTGACTTTCAGTTCAGTCAACTCGACTTACACCCGGTTTCTGAAAGGCTTGTCAATGCTAAAATGAACTAATCTCCTGTTAAATCTCTTGTCAAGTCATCTGATTGGTTGTTGATAATTCAGTCAACCAATCAGATGACTTGACAAGAGATTGAATTGATTTTAACATTGATTGGCCTTTCGGAAACCGGGGATGAGTCAAATTGAGAAGTTTTCAATAAACTTACTAATAAGCCTCACAATAGTTACTATACCAAAACTTTTATTATTTTACAGGAAAGAGATGGCATACTTCACAACAATGACAACTAAGGTCAAGGATCCTAGCAAGGTGAACGCTGTGATCATGGGACGACGGACCTGGGACTGTATACCAGACAAGTACAGACCCCTGTCGGACCGAGTCAACATTGTGTTGACACATAATGTTGATGCAGTTAAGGAGAAGGTACATTTTTGTTTTCACTTTTTTGTACTTTTTTATGATTGGACTGGACTGTTTTGTGAATGCGAGAAAGTCATTGTATGTGCATTGTGTGAAACAGAAAAAAATAATCTCAAAATATATTAAGTCCCTCTCTAATAAAACATAATAAAATATTCCTCCCGATAATAAAACATTGGCTAAAGAAAGAAATAATTATAATACATACTCGTATTCTAAATACAATATAGTTTGATATTTCATAATTTTTTTATCTAACGATGACCTGAACTTCACCTTATATTCAAATGATTTGATAAAGTTATATTATCAATTGTCATATTTATCAATCAACCAGCTTAATAACACTACTTCGAGTAGATGTCCAACTGTATTTTCTATTTCACGGTGTCCAACATTCTTTTTTCTCGTCGGAGACATCCGAATTTTCTCTTTTACTTTTTTTTTTAATTTCTCCTGATTAGATTAGAATCTTCTACTGGCAATAAAACTACAAAAAAGATTTGGCAAAATGGGGCAGTTTAAAAGTTTGCCCTCTTTGTACCTAGGAAAGAAATAAGCGAGAGAGCTATTTGATTCAAAAATACGTCATAATTTGGAGTTTCATACTAAAAATTGGTCCAGGCGTTTTCGGGTTATGCGCTTATTAAAACACATCCGCTAGTACGTAGAGGCAGATTTAGCCCAAACTACTTTTTCAATATATTTTTTCCAACTGGAAGTGGTATTATTTTGATTTGACCTTGACCCGAGGCTCAAATCTAACCAAATGTTCATTCACCTCGATCCACTATTCTAAAGTTCTTGGCGCTGATTGCTTACCACCAGGTTATCAGTCTTTTAGTCTCTCTGTTAGTACGCCTTTTTCCAGAAATAGCCTGTCTGTGTTTTTAAATTTCATATGGATGTGTCATGCCAGGAAAATTCTAGCAACGCAGCTGACAGTGACTCTTATATAGCAGTTGATTAAATGGTAGAAAGTGATACCTAGACTGTATGGTGTATGTTTAATACATAAAATATTAGGTACCCCGGCTTTGATATCAGAGTATTCATCGACTGAATTATGATTTTTGAAAGTCTTGTAAAAGCTTTTTATACTTCGGAGAGCTAGCCATGCGTATAATAAATCCGTGGAAGAGCTTCATCACAAATAGAACTCGACTAAAATGGTACTGTGGCCACACAGAAATTCACTTAACACGTTTTTTTTTTACCGTGTGAATGAAGTTACCGGACGTCCAATACTCTCTATCTCTATTTCCAATCTCCAATTCTCCTCTAATCCCCTAATGACCCAGTCCCCCAACCCCTCTCCAATCCCCTAATCACCAATTACCCAGTCCCTTAACGGTTAGCACTTTTTTTAATATCTTCCGTTTTACTTATGTCCTCTAATATTCGTTTTCAGGTGCCAGAAGGAGTGGTGGTGGTATCGGGATTGGACGAGGCTGTGCAGTATATCGAGGGTCGAGAGGATATCGAGTCGACCTGGGTCATTGGAGGATCTTCCATCTACCAGGTAAGAGGCTTGGTCCCGAGCGTACGGCGCGCTGCGTTCCATGCGCGCCTTAAAGAACCAGTAGACCAGAACAGACGGGGCCCTATAGGGCTGATGTTCAGCCGGTGTTTAGGTAGTGTAAGGTAAGTGCAATAAGGCACCGCGGCCTCGAGTCTAGAGCAAGAGTAGGAACGGGGGAGGGCTGGGTTTTTGTCAGTAAGAATCTGACATTCCTTCCCGTCCGTCGTCTTCCCTTCACAAAAAAAAGGTTAATATTGTGTATCTTGATTTTACATACATATTAGAGTTTTTTTGGATAGGACATTTCTCAAGAAATTCATCCAAATACTTTTCCAGTCCTTGTAAACGCGAGAGGGAGTTTCAGACTCATTGACTAAAAACCCCGTTTCTTTTCTTGCGCCGAGTTGGGCCCACGGTACATCATGCGCTTGCACTTACTACTTTCAGCACGCTAAGGCTGTTGATTCTTTATCTGGTCAAATCCCTGCCTCGGTTTCAAGTCAAGTCCCCGCCCCCAGTGCGGGCATATAAACATACTAAATGATGTAACAAAAATTAATTGTAAAATAGATTATCTAAATTTAAAATAAAAAAAACCCCGACAAAAAACTAATATCCCATTAAAAAGTAATTATTAAAAAAAACGTGGCGTTGGGGGACCGATCCAAATATTTTATTATCTACTACATATTTCTATTTTGTCAAGGGGCTAATTTATTTTATAATTTTAATAGGTATATTAGATCACTTTCTCTCGATTAAGTCATCAACATTCCCTTTCAGTGCACTTTCATTTGAGACCCCACTCGAGTATATTTGCAGGCCTTCGGTTACCCTTTCCCACTTACCCCCCATAACTTCTAAACGGCTCAACATGTCTAAGATTTCGTCAAACATGTCTAAGAACACCCGCTCGTAAGTCACCTTTAATACAAAAAAAACTAAATTGAAATCGCTTCATCCTTTTACGCTCCAGGATGCCACAGACAGATAGACAGACAGACAGACAGACACCTCAAAGTTATAACATAACACCCCTATTTTCCCGTCGGGGTTTAAAAAGAGTAAGCATGGAATATCTTGCTATTCATTATATGTTGTTATCATGAAACGCGGGAGTTTAATGAAACTAATTCAAGGAGAAAGTACCTATAACTGAAGGTCTGGTGGCACGGAGGTTAAGGAGCCCGCTTCCCATGCTTGAGTGTGGTTTCGAAACCTGGCAATTTACTAACCATTGTAACTTTTCCGAGTTATATGTACTCTCTATAATTATTTAGACACCACTGACATAAGGTGAAGGTAAACATCGTGAGGAAACCTGGACTTATAATTTCTAATTGTAAGTTTGAAATAGCCAACCCGCATTGAGCAAGCGTGGTGATTAATGCTCAAACCTTCGTGTGAGAACAGGTCTTTGCTCAGCAGTGTATGCTTATAGGCTGATGATGTATGTATAACATTCAAAATGTTATCTTTAACTAAACAATATACGTACAAAACGTTTTGGGAGCACATTTATTATGCGTACAGCCAAGGAGTGGAATTCCTTGCCGGAGTCGGTGTTTCCTGATAGTTACAATCTGGGTATCTTTAAGTCAAGAGTGAATAGGTTACATCTAGGTAAGCGCGCTCCATCGTCGAACGCATCATCGCTTTCCATCAGGTGAGATAGCGGTCAAGCGCGAACCTATAATAAATAAATAAAAAAAACCGCCTTTCGAGTGTGAAGATTTGGTATTTAGTGACTGCTGACTTGTACCTAATTAGTGACCGATATAATTTATACACGTTATTGTATAACGATAACAAACAACTTTCCCAAAGAAACTATATTTCTTTACTCAATAGTTTTATTTTTATTGCTATTTAGCAAAATTACTGTGCCAAGTTCAAACGAGGTTGCGCGGGGCTCGCCGCAAACAGCTGATCGGGCGATGCACGGCGGGCGCGCGATGTTTGTTTTGAGATTAATAATAAAAATAAAAAATGTATATAGAAAAAAGTTTCCTTGCAAAAGTTGTTAGTTATTACTACTTATTATACTATATAATACCAGTCGCCCTATATTCATAAAGAATGTAACATAGAACAGTCCTAGTTATAAGTAATTTGATTTTTTGGGTTCAATACCATCTGTTGATCTGTGTGCTCATTTGCATCTAATAACCACTTAAAAAAGGGAGTAAAATGTAATCTTTTCTTCTCATTCGTTTCCAGGCTGCCATGACACATCCGAACTGCGGCAAGATTTACCTGACGGAGATACAGAAATCCTTCGACTGCGACACATTCTTTCCAAACATCGACAAACAACAGTTCCATTTAGTGAACGAGAATGAAATCCCCGAGGAAAGGCAGTCTGAAGGTGAAATAAGCTACTTTTTCCGAGTTTATAAGCGATTGTAAGTAGTTTTATAATTTAATACACAACTACACCTATCTACATCACACTACATTCGCTGCAAGAAGTTCGACGGTATACCGATAGATGGCGCTGAACAAGTCTACGTTGTACGTTGCTACACTACACTTCATCTTCAAGAAATTCGGCGATATGTCAATAGATGGCGTTGTTCAACAGCAACGTTATACGTTGGTACTCTACACTATCTTCAAGAAACTGTGATATAAGTAAATGACGACAATTTTTAAATTGTACGCTGATTCACTACACACCTTCAAGAATGTCAATAGAAGTCGGTGTACAATCCCCACATGTATGTACATTACACTGTGATCAAGAAGTTCGGTGATATACCTACATAGACTACAGCACTACAATTCCAACAGTACAGGTACTTGGTACACTCTGTTTAAACAAATCGGCTATGTGCCAACAGTACGTTGATAAACTACATTCTGTTCAAGAAGTTCCGCGATGCATCGATAGATGGCGTTGTACAAATCCTCCATCGCACTATACAAGTTTCGAAAATTGGGAGCTCCGCGTTTGTTTTGGTGCTTCTATTCGACTTAGTTTAAAAGAAATTATTGGACTCATAAGATTTTTTTATGTATGTGTATTTAGCTTATTTACCAAGTGTGCCAGTGCATCAATGCGCGATGTTTTGTTTGATGTTCGTACATTCCATGCGATCGAAAAACTGCTCGAATATTTTGTACAGTTGTCATTAATGCCTAGTGTTCATATTTGCCTTAAGTAAAAAATATATCTCGAATAGTTAACATCGTTATCTATTAAGGTTTATAAAGGCTTTGCTCGCTTTTATATAGTTATATAGTAATTATTCTAGTTTTAAGAATCAGCGTCTGTTATATCCCACGAAAGGTGGGACGATTTGTCCCATCTTTCAAACTCGATTATCAAAATCTCACCGATCATTCACTTGAGTTGAAATGAATTTGGTTTGAGTATAACATGAACGCGTCTAGTAAAGAAATTTTGGAATGAATCGTCCCACCAATCAAATGGAATACCCCTTTTGCTGAAGGATATTGATTGAACTTATGTTTTTGAAACACTGTAAAAAGATTAATCAAATGTCAAGTTCAAAAAAATACCGTTAATGATAAAAAAAATAAAAGCAAAAAGTACAAAAACAAAATACGAACAAAAATAAAAAAAATACTAGGTATACCATAAAAAAAAAGAATGGAAAATCACTAATGAGTAAAAAAAAGATGTGAAAAAAATCTAATAAGTAAAAAAAAGTATACATTTGAAATGTTGCCAACACAGAAAATTAATTTCATACCCAGTTTTAATTGCAATTGTATTTGAACTGAATTAATCTTTATTTTCTTACCCGTATACTGAATAATGTATATACTACAAAAAACTCACAAGATGGATCTTTTAAAAACATTTCCTATAACAAAAAACTTTGTTATTTCATTCTGATATATAATACACCGTGACTTTTTAGTCGTCTTACAAAAGTTGTCCACTTAATGTATCCGACATAAAATACATCTAGGTGCGATTATTATTTTTTTATCATTAAGATAATAGGTACGAAAAATATTAATAAAACATTAGAAATATGAAACATCCTGTTTAAAATAGTCCACGTGGACTATTGTCCAATCAGATTGTCTAACGCTATCCTTAGACAACGTCGGCGCACGCGATGCCCCGCCCCTTTCACTTGAAATTATGTGCAATAATATTTTTGTTTTTAATTTATTAAAATCTTATTTTTTTTTTTTATGTATGTTTACTAGTCATTGGATACATGAACTGGGCTGCCTTTGTAAGATGACTAAAAATTCACGGTGTATACACAATAAAAAATAAGGTTATATAGCTACTTGTTCTAAAATAATGTCTAAAAACAGCTAGTTTTGTAAAGTGAATTGCGTTTTTATAAGGAAACATCTTGTAAACTGTGCCTCTTTAAAAATATGGTGCAATGTTATATCTCTGTGTATTTGTAAGCTTAAATGTTTTTTGCTGTTATAGTTTAATTTTAAGTCTTATTGGAATGATGACTAGTACACTAATTCATAACCTTTTTATTCCCAAAAAGGTTACAATCTAATTATATTGTTTACCAAACTGTGACGTCACATTTTCGACGTCTAATAGACGTAATACTTATTTCTTTTTTTAATTATTTTGGGAGAATATTAAAAACAAGTGTCAAATTTAATTAATCATAAAGTTTCGTTGTTTTTAGATACTTAAAATATTAGATTTTTGTCATTTTTTTATTCTGTGTCAATGTTTAAAGATGTACACACACGGGGTGTGAAAAAAATCGTCAATTAAGAACGTTATTCAGTTAGATTTTAAAAATATATTAGACATGTTTTTTTTCAATAAAAATAACTTTAAAATTATTTAAGTAAATACCAACAATGCACTAATAATGGGATTACATTTACTAAAATTTTCACCGACAAGTGACGTCATGGGGTATTTGCAATAAATCCTTCGTCGTAATCCTTAGTTTAAAGTTGTTTATTAAAAAAAATGTGTTTAATATATTTTTTTAGTCTGGATAGGTGGATAAAAAATACTCTGCTGTTACAACCTTTTTATATAAAAATAAGACTTTTTTAAGTGCCTATATTATGTAAATTGCTATTAACATTGCCTCGATTATAATTTTAGATAAGTATAATATTTTAAACCAAATACATTAACTATATGATTTGAAAGTTAATCTTTATTTCTATAGAAATAAGGGTCGGTTTTGTGTTTTTTTTTTTGCTGCTTATAGTTTGGATGGTAGATGAGGTTGTCATTTTTAGGTGAAAAAATGATTTTATTTTCAGAAGGAAACCCTGAGTTTCGCTTAGATAGTCTGGAATGATATGTTAAGCTGGCTAGCTTTTTACCCTTGTTCCGAGGTGGAAGTCAAACCAAAACAGTCTTTAAAAAATGTTTACTTTAATAGTACCTCATCCTCTATTTGAGTTTAGAAGCCTGTTCAAGATAAGTACTTATATATTTTTTTAATTCTGAGTCATAAATTAATATAGTCTCGTCTCCATCTTCTTGGAAATTAACATAGGTTAGAATATATTCTTAGGTTTTCCACACTTTGAGATTTTTTTAAATAATTGCATTTCCATTGAGTTTTTTTTTTGACGCTTTACCAGTGTGTACGCAGAAGGAAGGTTGAAAAACTAAGGTCTGAAAACGCAATTAACACTTAAAACGCCATGGAGCCATAGTCACCGGTGACCTCTCTTAGCGGAGGATTTGCTTCCAACAGTTTTTTGTCAGCAGTCTTAAGTGCATTTTCGAAAAAAAGTTTAGAAACACAGGTCTGGTATAGATTGTTGTAAATTACCAACCACACAAGCTTAAATTCTCGTTTAATAACTGCTCGTTTTATTCGATTGAGGGTTGATTTTTCAATAGTCAGATAAATGTTATCTGCTTAATAAAATTGTTGCTGTCACTGTCTTATACAAACATTCTGACGCGACAGCATCATAATTGCTCCCCAGGTAACTTTTATCTAACCATTGAAAAATCAGCCTTAAGTTGCAAAATTTCTTACTTAGGTTGTTAGTGTACAAGGCGAAGAGATGAAAACCGAGTTGCTTCCACAATGGTAAGTTAGGTTATGTACTGTTGAGGCTGTTTCGAATAAAACCTATTTCTAAGACGTGGTCAATTAGGTATTTATCAAGAGTAATGTGTTTTTAAGGTGGTCTACAACTTGGAAGCTGGTTTTAAAAATCGGATTTTTTTTTGAAATTTTTATGACGTCTCGCCTTGGTTGAGGCGGGAGAGTGTCAGACTCTTATTGGCTAAAATCCCCCGTTCCTTTTCTGACTCTGGGCCGAGGTCGAAGTATCTTATTGCGCTTACCCCGCAACCCTGGCTGAACACCAACCCTATAGGGCCCAGTCTGCGGTGGTCTATTAGCTCTGTGAGGCGCTCGCCGTCCGCTCGGGCGATTGATTGGTCTTAAAGTAACATTTTCCCCCAGTATTGTGCCATAGCTTATCCACGCTTTGGCTTAAGCGCGTAAACATAGTATTTAGATATTTCTTCAGCCATACCAAGTATTCACTTCCTTAGAATAATGTTAGTGTTTTTTTTTTGAGGGTTCTCAATCACCAAATTTTTTCTATTATAGTTGGTGATATCACTTGTTGATGTGCTGTAGACTGCTGAAAACTAGATAGTCTTGTATGCTCAACCATATCTCTTGTTGATGTTCTGTAGACTGCTGAAAACTAGATAGTCTTGTATGCTAAACCATAATATCTCTTGTTGATGTGCTGTAGACTGCTGAAAACTAGATAGTCTTGTATGCTAAACCATAATATCTCTTGTTGATGTGCTGTAGACTGCTGAAAACTAGATAGTCTTGTATGCTCAACTATATCACTTGTTGATGTGCTGTAGACTGCTGAAAACTAGATAGTCTTGTATGCTCAACCATATCTCTTGTTGATGTGCTGTAGACTGCTGAAAACTAGATAGTCTTGTATGCTCAACCATATCTCTTTTGATGTGCTGTAGACTGCTGAAAACTAGATAGTCTTGTATGCTCAACCATAATATCTCTTGTTGATGTGCTGTAGACTGCTGAAAACTAGATAGTCTTGTATGCTCAACCATAATATCTCTTGTTGATGTGCTGTAGACTGCTGAAAACTAGATAGTCTTGTATGCTCAACCATATCTCTTTTGATGTGCTGTAGACTGCTGAAAACTAGATAGTCTTGTATGCTCAACCATTATATCTCTTGTTGATGTGCTGTAGACTGCTGAAAACTAGATAGTCTTGTATGCTCAACCATATTATCTCTTGTTGATGTGCTGTAGACTGCTGAAAACTAGATAGCCTAGAATAAATCGTGTTCAACCATATCTCTTGTTGATGTGCTGTAGACTGCTGAAAACTAGATAGTCTTGTATGCTCAACCATATCTCTTGTTGATGTGCTGTAGACTGCTGAAAACTAGATAGTCTTGTAGTGCTCAACCATATCACTTGTTGATGTGCTGTAGACTGCTGAAAACTAGATAGTCTTGTAGTGCTCAACCATATCACTTGTTGATGTGCTGTAGACTGCTGAAAACTAGATAGTCTTGTTTGCTCAACCATATCACTTGTTGATGTGCTGTAGACTGCTGAAAACTAGATAGTC